AATTAAGTGTCTTGTTCAAAATTGCAGGAATAATTAGTGAAGTCAGAACTGTAATCTACACTTTCCCAACCAGTACAATTCTCTTTTCTTACCTTGCTGTTGTCTTGTGTGTAACACAGTTACTTTTTACTCCCTTATTTTCTGAAAATCTGCATTGCTTTTTTGCCATTTTTGTATTTAGTTCTTTCTTTCCTCCCATTTCTTAATTTCCTCAAGAGCTCTCACACTGTCCTTCCCAGCTGTTAAATGACCTACATTTTAATGATCACAACTCAGTTTTATTTCTTATGGCTGCACATCAGGGTGACTTCTGATAATATTAATCTAATTCTTCCACAAAAGAGACATTTGGGACTAAGCATATGAAACTTGATGGGCAAGACTTTTGAGAAGAAGATGACTTTAGCAGGATGTGAGCCGCAGGTGGGAAACCACTGAAAAAAAGAATGATTCTGTTGCTGGAATCTTATTACATTCATAGAAATGAGAGACTTGCAAAGGTAGTTTAATTTGATACTCTTACCCAGGAGACTGACTTACAGCTGGTGTGTGAGAAATGCCATTTTCCAGATGACTTCCTCTCCTGTTACAAAGTCTGGCTATGGCCCCTGCAAAGTGCTGGATCTGCTCCATGTTTGGGTGTTTGAGACACTTGTCTTTCCCCTCTGTGCTGGCTTTTTCCACTCATCTTTTTTAAAGTGTTCTACTGTAGGAAGATTAACTCTTCTCCATTGAGTTCCATGTCTTTTTGAATATATGTGCAGCCATTGTGATAATTCCAACTGGGTCAGAGAGAAGGCATAAGGTAAATGGTAGTTTACACTATTAAAGAAAGCCACAAGGTAATACATTTTCTCTCTGCAGTACATGACTCGATAGATTCCTCAAATTTAAGAAATAAAAATGGACATTTCCTCGTCCATTATTGTCAATCTCTAGAAATGTCATTAAACGTGATTAACAGGTGATTTTTTCTTTTTTTCCAAATGAAAATGTCCAATGTGAATCTTTCACTGGTTTAAATTGTAAATTACATTTTTCCCCCATTTTAAAAAACATTCTCTGGTGGCTTTAAGCAGCTTTTATTCACTTACTGTCCACAGTTATTCATTTTCCATTAATCCTGAATTATTTGGGGGAATCGCTCAACTTTCTTGGGAAAAATGTTAATATTGTTAAGTTCGTGTCTTTTAACCTAACACATAGCAGTAAATATATAGTACAACTTGTTATAAGTTGTGGAGGGAAGAGGAAAGAAAGGAGAAGACAGAAGATTGCTCTGGTTACAGACATAGTAGAAGTAACACCCCAAAGTGAAGCCTTTGTGACACTGTCATATTTCACGAAGTTAAAAGGGAAGGAGTAGGAATTAGACAATGTTAGTTGCCTACCCATCTTCTCCCTTCTTTCTTGCTAACAGAAGCCCACTGTGTTTGGGTTGACAGTGTGCCCAGCCCCAAGGACTGAATCACGGGTTAGTCTTACCAATAGTTACTTTAATGTCTCCTTTTGATTCCTTCCTATTTGGGATAATGGTGTGTCATAATGATGCTTAGAACTTCAGCAGCCATCTTGCCACCATGATGCAATAAAGGAGGACAAAAATTAAATGTGCTTAATAACAGAAAGGGTCAAAGAAATTGGGTTTTTGATGACATCACTGCACTGATGAACTAGATGTCCTGCCTCCTCCAGACTCTTTTTAATATAAGAGAAGAAAAATGTCTCAAATGATCGTTGGGTGTTTATTAATTGCAGACCTACGCATCCTAACTGAAACAGTATCAGAGCGTTTTCATACCATCAAGAACATATATGATGCTCAAGATTATAAAGAAAGTTAAGCTTTTGATCAGGCTTAAATAATAGAAGCATTTCATCAAGCTCAGCTGCCCTCTCCGAGTGGGTGAGGGAGTTTATTTTCTCTGATATGCCCTTCTGGATGGCATGACTGAGGTGAAAGGCATAGTTATGGATAAGCAATGGATACCGCTCTGGGTCCTCTCTGAATTTTGAGTTGTAATTCACAACAAGGATCATCATTTAAGAAAATAATGGATGACTCTTCAGATTTTAGGAATTTTCCTCAAGGAGACAAGCTGTTTGATGAGATGATCTTACTTGATAATCTTTTTTTTAAATTTATACTTCTGGGGCTTCCCTGGTGGTGCAGTGGTTGAGAGTCCGCCTGCCGATGCAGGGGACACGGGTTCGTGCCCTGGTCCGGGAGGATCCCACATGCCACGGAGCGGCTGGGCCCATGAGCCGTGGCTGCTGAGCCTGCGCGTCCAGAGCCTGTGCACCGCAATGGGAGAGGCCACAACAGTGAGAGGCCCGCGTACCACAAAAAAAAAAAAAAAAAAATTTATACTTCTGGTTATCACTACACACAGCATAGAAGACATACCTAAGTACCTAAAAGGAGAGGGCACATTTCATATTTACAAACAAATCCTGGTTGCAGAGCAGAGAAGGAGCCTAGGAATGTGTAGCCATGCTAAATAATATGCATCCTATTCCCTTTGCCCATCTCCCACTCATACCTCAGCCACACACTTTTATTCAATAATGAAAATAAATAGTATAAAAAAACTGCCAACACATTAAACACAGTTTTTATACATCTGTCTTGATTTCCTGAGTAGGGAATTTATAATAGAAATACAATGACTATGGCCTTCTATCATTTTTCTCTTAACACTTTGATCTGCAGAGTTCCTAGGAACAGAAAGATGGTCTATCAGAATCATTAACTGGATGATGTTAAGCTTATAGTCATGCAGCTAGTAGTTGTTGAGCACCTATAACGTATCAGGGTTTGTATTAAGTCCTGAGGTGGAAGGCATGATTACCACCATCAGTTTCTCACAGATGGGAATAAAACCGAGTTATGTACCCCCCAAATTGCATCCCACTGTGGTAGAGTGCTGTAACAAAGATTTGGGGACAAAGAAAAGAGCTGCAAGACTCAGATGGGGGTGGTTGGGAAGGCTTAGGATGGTAGAAACTCACACTGAATCTTGAAGGACTAGGTGGAACTTTCTAGATGAGGAGAGAAGGATATTTACCAGCAGTTGGAACTGGATGTTCAAAGACTGCAAGGCAACAGAGAAGCAAGCAGCTAATTATGGCAGGCTCACTGAGGGATCCATGTGAGGGAGAAGGAGCAGATGGGAAGGGAGGGAATTTTTGGCTATATGAAAGTTTAACCCCAAAGGAGACAGGAAGACCTTGGGGGATTTTAGGCAAGGAAGTAAAAGATCATTCTGGCGGCTTAGGATAGAATGAATTAAAATGAAGAGAGTCTGGAGGTAGAAAGAAAATAATTCCAACAAGAAATTACAACAGTGGCATTGGGTATGAATCAAGAAATTTCAAGAGAGAGTCTAAAGGATTTGGTGATCAACTGAATGTAAGGGTAACAGCTCCACGGGGGCGTTGAGGAGAACTCACATATTCTGACAACCAACTGGGATGGACAGTTATGACGTACTTTATGATACATAATAAAAATGAGTTTTGTGTTTAGGGGAAGAAGGAAGCAACAAATATACTTTTCACAGTGTCGAGTCTGAGGAGCTTATGGTTTATTCAAGTAAAACTGTCCAACAGATCAGAGGTTCCTAAGCTTCCAGATTTCACATACCAGCAAAATTTCCAAATAAACATGAGGGACCAATTTAAGACTGCCAATTTTTCATTTTGCTAAGTCAGGATACGTTTTAAAAAAAATCTATCCACTGATATCAATATTTCATTTTTATAAAAGGATATTTCAACACCAAAAACTGAGTGAATCTTAATATAAAAGGCAATTTATTAAATTAAGTAAACTTGACTTCATTTTAAAACTGCACTGAAATGTCCTTCTTTTAAATTGATTAATTAATTTATTTGGCTGAGACAGGTCTTAGCTGCGGCACACGGGATCTTCATTGTGGCACACGGGCTTCTCTAGTTGCGGTGCATAAGCTTCTCTGGTTGCAGCGCACAGGCTTCTCTCTAGTCGTGGCGCACAGGCTCCAGAGTGCGCAGGCTCAGTAGTTGTGGCACGCAGGCTTAGTTGCCCTGTGGCATGTGGGATCTTAGTTTCCTGACCAGGGATAGAACTGCATCCCCTGCACTGGAAGGTGGATTCTTAACCACTGGACCCCCAGGGAAGTCCCAAAATGTCCTTATTTTTTTTCCATTCCTCTTTTTCCAACATAATCCTCATCACTGACTTATAACAGACCACAAATTGGCACTAAAACCAATGAAACAGTTTGTACATATAGAGATTTGGGGTCCAATAGAGAAGCGTTAGTGGAAGATCTAGAATCATAAGCATAGTATTTGAAATTGACAAAATAGATAATCATAAGTACTATTTATTCACCATCTTCTATGAGTCAAGCACTAATGTAAGGGCTTTACATAATTTCTCATTTCAAAATCTCAACAATTCTGAAAGGTAAGAGAGGGTAGTTCATTTTTACAGATGAAGAAATTGAGACTGAAGATATTAAGTTGCCCAAGATCACAAAGCAGAAAGTGGCAGAGCTAATAGCCAAGATTTCTCTAACTTGAAGTTCTCTATTTTTAAGTGTGATGTTAAACTGCTACCCTGGAAAGAATATATAGAATGAGACAGGGCATCAAGGATGGAACTCTAAGGAATACTGACACTTAAGATGATGCTCCAAAAGAAAAGAGCCTAGAAAAGGAAAATAAATAGCGTCATGTGAAACAAAGGAGAGGAAAATTTACGAAAGAAATGTGTTGTCAAAAATTCCAAATATCAGGCTTCCCTGGTGGCGCAGTGGTTAAGAGTCCGCCTGCCGATGCAGGGGACCCGGGTTCGTGCCCCAGTCCGGGAAGATCCCACATGCCGCGGAGCGGCTAGGCCCGTGAGCCGTGGCCGCTGAGCCTGCGCTCCGCAACGGGAGAGGCCAAAAAAGGGAAAGGCCTGCGTACCCCAAAAAAAAAAAAAAAAAAAAAATTCCAAATATCATGGAGAAGGTAAATATAAATTAAATATACATAAAAATCTATATTTATACAAATTGAAGTGAAAAAATTATACACTGCATTTTCTTTTAATACCCTGTTAGTAATACTCATCAGTCCTGCTGACCCTTTCACGTGCTCAGCAGTCACTCAGTTACTAGAATTAGGAACTTACTCTACAACCATGTATCTAACCACTTTTACAAGTCGGAAACCAACCTGGACACCTTTTTGGTACTGGCCCATTGTAAGGGTCTTAATCTGGATTACCTGAGCAGTTGGATTAGCTAGCATTTGAACTCCTGACCCTGGTACTTAAATGAATCTTTCAGGATCAAATCAAACCACATTCAAATTTATATAATATCTCTTATGCAGGATAAGTTCCTCTAACTAGAAAGTTTTTTAAAGTGTAATTTGTAATTTAGGAACTATGGATGTAGAGAAATGTTTGCTACAATCTTATAGCCTGTTCTAAAATTTCGATTATAAAAGCTGCTTCTAATAGGCACAAAGATTTGAAATGCAATTTCAATATGCTATCACCAGGAGGCACTGATACATTGATATCAGGGTTTGAATAATTAAGCCAATACATTGTATAAGTTTAAGACAATCACTTTTATCAAGACCTAACAGAGATTTCCAATCATGAATTCTTTACCCCTTATATGCCTGTCATAAATTATTGCTTCTCAGGTCCAAATTCTTTCTATTTCCCTGCTCTGTGAAAATGGGCCCTTTAAATATTTTCCGCTGTCAACTGTACCATGTCACACTTTATCAGTAGAGATTGCTGTAGGGACATTACAGGGGGAAAGGGTTTTGCCTCCTGCTTCTCATGTGCTCCCTTCTGCGCAGACTTCTGCAGCATGTGCCTAGTGCCCAGGTCCTACAGCTCAGGCAGCTTCCAGCACCAGGTTCCTACGGTGTGCCCAGCTTCTCCAGAGCCAGGTTCCTGCAGAGTGGTCAGGAGAAGAGTGATACCACCTTTGGGCAGTTTTGTAGCATTGCTTCTGGTGAGATACCTCCTCACGAACAACTTTCCCTGGAGCACTAGAGAAAGGCAGCTTTCTGAGAGCAGATTTCCAACAAACTCCCCCAGGGTAGCGTCACAGGGACTTTTCTGACATCCAGTGAGGACTGTGCCTTCTGCAGTAGGTTCCAGATCTCAATCCTGGAGTGTAGAGAGGGGCGGAGGAGTGGGAACTCTTCCTTGGGTGATCTTCTCAGCCCTATGGATAAGGACTGCTCCTTATACCCGTTATACTGTATTCTTTAGAGTTCTGTTTACTTCTCACCAGTGAAAGAGGCATTGCTCCAATCTCTTATTAGAGTTGGTGATTCTTTATATTAAATTTTCCCTGTTCAAGTTACTTCATGATTTTTCTCTCCTGATAATATGCATACTGATAAAATCCAGTTACACTTACCTTTATTAAAATAACCAAAGAAATTAAAATAACCAAAGAAATTAAAATAATAGTAACTCTATAAATTTCAAAGATGAGAATTTAACATCACAACTTTCAAAGAAATAAATAATTCAAATAATACCTTTCCCATGAAATATTAACTTTGCCAGTTCACCATGTTTCCCAAGAGGAAGTCAAACACCTTTTCTGGTGGTCTTTCCTTAACCTTAAATTTCCTCAATATTAAAGGAGGAAAGAGGAAGACAACTGAAAGAATCTTACTGAGAAGCCTACAGGTCTATACACCTCGTCTGTCTTAATCCCACAATGACCCAAAGAGTAAGTGTTATTATTTCAATTTTAGTCAAGGAACTAAGACCAAGAGACGTTAAATAACTCACCAAGATCATGCACCTAGTAAATGGCAGAGAGGATTCAAAGGCAGATGTGGCTGATTCCCAACTCCTTATGCTTCCCCACAGATGATTTTTTGTGTAACTGGCTCTCTTCTCTCTGACTCAGATACAGAAGGCGGCTCACTGGGACTGAATTTTTAATTTATGTTTTCATCTTCTTTGCTCTCAGAACAGATGCTTCTTCTTTCTGCATGCTTCATAAGAAAAAGAAAGAAGCAACTACCTAGAAAGCAGGCAAACAAACAAACAAAAAAAAGCTTTCATGTGTATTTTCCCTCAGTCAAAAAGAAATATTTCTAATAATATAACAAGAGTGAAATTATACCCTCCCTTTTCTTTTTCCAATCAAAACAGGCTATTTAGGTGGCAATCATATAATTAAACTTTAGCAACTTTAGCCCTAGAAATATTGGTTTATATTATATTAAATTTAGCATATTTTTCTAGTGTTGAAAGAAAAAAAACTGTCAGCCCTAAATTCTATACTTCACAAAAATATCCTTCAGGTATGAAGGGAAAAAAAGACATTCTCAGATGAAGGAAAACTAAGAGAATCTGTTCCCAGTAGACTTACCCTTAAAGAATGCCTTAAAGAAATCCTTCAAACAGAAAGAAAATGACTTCAGAAAGGTAGAAATAACAATGCAGTAGGTAAAAAGAAAAAAAGCAGGGAGGGGGTAAACATAATAGACTATCCTTCTTCTCATGGATTTTTAATCATGTCTGGTGGTTGAAGCAGCAACTATAACACCACCCCAGGGGGTGCTTGATGTGTGTAAAGGAAATAAATTTTTAAATGGGGAGAGTTAAGGGATTTAAATGTAAATAAGGTTCCTATACTCCACTTGAAGTAGTAAAGTATTTTTTCAGTAGATTGTTATTGCAGTTACACACGTTCATTGTAATACCTAAAGCAACGACTAAGAAAACAGTACATCTAAAAACCTGTTCAAGGAAGACAAAGGAGGACCTTTGTATCACATGTTCATGTCTGCTAGGAGAACAGACTTCAGAAGAGGCATCCAGCACTCAAGTGGACAGGATGACTCAGTCGCCCAGCCTCGGTCTTTAGCTTCTCTGGCAATTGAATAGTATAGCTATGAACTAGAATGGCCATGGTGGAAGAAATGGACCTTCACATGGGCCTGGAATCCTTCTCACCAATGCTAGTCTAGCTATTGCCACTGCTGAACATCTAACTTGCCAGTAGCAAAGAACTACAGTGTGCCCCCAATATGGAACAATCTTTCAGTGAAACAAACCAAACTTTTACACTCTGGAAAGGGCTACCCATGCTACCTATGCTTGACCCTGTATTCCAGATAGCACTTTGCCTTTCCTTTCCTGGCCACACTTCCCATCCAGCATCACCAAGGACTCACTCTGGATAGCCAGGTGACTTTCATTCCCAGTCGTTACTGTAAATGGGAAAGTAGAGCAACCATGACCTGATAAAGACAGAGTGACCAAGAGGCTCACAACTCACAAATTAAGGATGGGGCCTGGGTCACCCCCACCAGGCAAACCACACGTTGGCAGAAATGCTCATCAATGGGGAGAGGAATTTAGAACTGGTAGTGGAGGCAGGAGGTAATGAATATTACACATGGCCTCAGGACAAACTGCGGCAGCAGCTGCTGGATTTTATCCCAGTAACCTTCTTGTAAGGTTTTCCAATCAGAATTCTTGAGAGGCTGTGCCTGAATGTAAGTGTATCTGAGTTCGAAGGGTAAACTGTAAAGGATGTTGTTGGTACCCATCCACGTCATGTAAACAGGGGCGTCCCCCTTTTCCCCAGCTACTGTGAGCATTGGTTGATAACAGCTCACAGCTACTCCCATTTCTAGTGACTTGCCCTCACACAAACAGGAGCAGCCTCACCTAGAAGGCTATGACCACCCACCCCTCCCCAGGGAAGAAGACCACTGCCCTGACTGACTCTCATCAGGAGGAAATGACTTGGTTGTACAATTTGTCCTCCACGGTTTCCTGTGGAATCAGATCCATATTCTGGCTCAGTTTTTTGCTTTTGTTTTTTTTTTCCTGTCCTATCCTATTTTCCTCAATTTCCTTCCCCTGAAAGTGCTTTCCTAGAAAAACAAACAAACAAACAAAAAAACCACTGGAACAAGAAATCCTATCCCATACTCTCCTTGTAGAAACCCCAGCTAAGACACTTGTGAATCATAAAACTGTGCTCTGCTAGACATGCCTTGTAAAACTTGATAGATTCCATCAGATCTGAAACTTGAAACCAAATGATTAAATTTAAATCTGTAGATAACACAAACTCTGTATGCATTTCATATTACTTGAGTTAGGAAACTAGAGTTTATGATAAATATAATAAAATATTGTTAATTCAAGAGAGGCAACAAGCTTTCTATTTCTGCTTTGATGATGTCTTTCCAAAATCTTCATTACTCTAAAGGCAGGAAGCATGCAATCACAGAGAGCCTATCTTTCACATTAGTTGTTTTGTATGGGCCAAGAAAACTGAAACAGAGGCCATCTACAACAAGAAGAAATGACTTTTGAAATAATTTTCACATGCCATAAAATTTATTCTGCTTATAATAAATTATCACAGGTGATTTCCCACAAAAGTCCAATTTAAAAAAAACATATTGCAAAACAAAGTCACAAATCAGCATTGTACTATAGAGGGAAATATTTCTAGAAATAATATATAATATTATGGATTCAAAAAACACTAAATTGAGGTAAAAACAAAATAAAAAAGACCACAGAGAATTTAAATCTTAATTGTAATCATAACACTAGGAAACTTGGTGGGTTCAATCCTTCTCTAGAGGACACAGAACAAGTGTATTCTTTTAACTCTGGTTCTCCTAGGCCTTCAAGACTAAAAATTTATAATCTAGGTTATAAAATTAAATTATTTTAAAAAGAGCTCCTATCACCATTAAGAAAAGAATATGTCATCAAAATCCATTGTTCAACTTCCATAGATCTAATGTTTTCAAAACTCATCTTCCATCAAAGGGAGCTTCCAATATTTTGACAAACCATGGTGACCAGCACTTAAATTAACACTAAATCTTTTTTATATATATATAAATTTATTTATTTATTTATTTTTGGCTGCATTGGGTCTTTGTTGCTGAGCACGGGCTTTCTCTAGTTTTGACGAGCCAGGGCTACTCTTCGATGCGGTGCATGGGCTTCTCATTGTGGTGGCTTCTCTTGTTGCGGAGCATGGGCTCTAGGCACGCGGGCTTCAGTAGTTGTGGCACACAGGCTCAGTAGCTGTGGCTCGCAGGCTCTAGAGCACAGGCTCAGTAATGGTGGCGCATGGGCTTAGCTGCTCTGCAACATGTGGGATCTTCCCCAGACCAGGGCTCGAACTGGTGTCCCCTGCATTGGCAGACGGATTCTTAACCACTGCACCACCAGGAGAGTCCAAATTAGCACTAAATCTTAAAACAAATTTTGGTACAGAACATTATGGTGCCCTACATATTGAAATAATGATTTCCTTTAAAGTTCCTTAGCCTATTTCCAAGGCCTCCAAGCTTTGACCCTAACCTGCCTTTCTAAGTTTATCTCTGACTATCCCTACATGCCCCTAGAGACCAACAAAACTGGGCAGTTACTCTTCCCTGACAAATCCCTTATTTTTTCACATTTATTTCTTTATAGAATAACTTCATCATTAGGCTCTGCAAGAAACTGCTTGGGTTCAAGTTTCTCAGCATTATTTTGAAGCAAACGTCAGTATCAATTTATACATAATTACTTCATTGTATACCTTTAAATATAAGGGCCATTTTTTTTTTTTCAAACACAGCCATGGTGTCATTCACTGCCACATCTAAAATATGAACCATAATTCCTTAATAATCGTCAAATAAGCAGTTGGTATTCAAATGTCCATGACTGTCTTGTACATTTTAAAGTGTTTAGTTTAAATCAGGACTCAAATAAGAATCACATATTGCATTTGACCGTGTTTCTTAAAGTTCTTAAGATTTTTCCATGCCCACATTTCCCCCTTTGAAATTTATTTATTTAAAAAAAATAAGATCACTTATCCAATAAAGCTTTCCACACTCTGGATTTTAATGACTGCTTCCCCATGGTGTCTTTTAACATGTTTGTCTGTCCCCTGTAATTCCTGTAAGCTGCTAGTTAAATCTAGAGGCTTGATCTGTTTCAAAGAAAAATTTTGGCAAGAATGCTTTAGAGATGGTGGTATATACTTCTATTAAGAAGCGTAAAATGTTTAGTAGTTTCTCTTTTTGTGGGGGTAACAGCTGTAAATGATCATTTCCTAGATCAACTATATCACTGAGGGTTCACAAAAAGGTGATATTTGCATCCTATTATTCCTTCTTTGTCTATTGGCTATGATAATTTTATAGAGAGAAACACCCTCATGAACTGTTTGACTACCCTGAGGCATAGTTCATATAGGAGAAGGTGATTAAATGCTTGATTCTTTCAATGGGAAGAAAATTCTTGAAGATGATTTCTCAGGTAAGAACTCTGTTAATAAATTGCCCCTAACGGAGAGGTTTGCTGTGCTCGTTCTCACCTGAAAGCTAGTTAGAGGACCTTCACGGGTACTACTGAAAGAGCTTAGTATGTATGCAGTATGGGAAACCCAGTAGACTGGAATCTGACTCCCACCTGACAAATATAAAGAGCTAAAGGTAAGGTGATTAGCTGTTGATGAATGAACCCAAGGACTGTGGGGTCTACCTCCACTGTATAGCTTATCAAGTCCAAGGGTACATCAAGGATTCCAGTGTACCAGACATGGGTCATGACAAAAGAGAGACCTTGTGGAGGTTTATATTATGTCCTATCCAACAGAACCCACTTTGCATATATGGCCTGCCAGACTGCTAGCAACTGAGGAGAGAGTAAGAGGAGAGTGCGTCACTTACCACAAGAGAACTACAAGGAAGAAGCTCCTAAACATGTGATGGGAGGCTCTGAAAACCTCATGAGAGAAAAATTCTTCTTTAAACACCTGCTGAACTCAGAAAGTTCAAAGCCATATTAAGTCATGTTAAGTCTTTGGTTAACAAAACAGACTGGTAGTCCATTATAGTTATGGATTATTTTTTTCTCTTCCACGGTATATATACTTGGCCATAGACCAAAGTGTTAACTGTGCTTGTGGCTGAGAAGTAGGATCTTTTTCCTACTGAAATAGTTTTATCTTTTCTCCAGAAGTTCCACTATTTTTATAAG